TATTCTTTTTCTCATGTTGTCTTCAAAATATTGTGTGTTTTTTACATTTACATCTCAACACAGACTGGCTACTTTTTTCTTTTTTTTTCTTTTTCTGAACCAAAATAGTTTTCATTGAAAGAACTCAGATGTGAGGATAGAGAAAGAGAAAGAGGGAGAGATGTGTTATAGAGAGAACACAGGATTCTCCATAGGAGAAAAAGCAGAGCATTCTTTTGGGAGAACATTATATATAAGTTCTCCAAATTGTCCTTGCCTGGAGTTTTCTGCATAAATAAAAATTAAGCTGGGTGTTGTTACAGGGGAAGTCTTACACTGTAGATAGTCATTTTTTATTCTTATCAAGAACTTTAGGTTATCCTGTAACTTCTCCAGGTGCTCCATGCTTCTAAGAGTGGGTTCTCCATCTCTAAAGAGCTCAGGATTTGCATTTCAGTGATTTGTTCTTCATGCTTTCCAGCTACTTCAGGGCTGGGTAATATCTTCTCAAATATTATTACTTCTCAAAAGATCATTATCAGGCCCCCTTCAATTGCCTGCAACTTTGTCCTCCTAGAGATTTCATTCCCTTAAATCTTTAAGGGCTATATGAGTTAAGAAGTCTTCTGTAATTTTTCGTGCTGACAAAAGGGGACAGACCTTGCCTATGTAAGGGAGTGAAATTTCATGTTAATCGGGTCCCTGCAATGGCTTATCTGCTTGCAGAATTGTCAATCTGAAAGAATAATCAGATAGATCAGACAAGATATTTAAAGAAATAATAAATTAGGCCCCAGAGAAAAGCTTTCCTTGGCAAAAGAGGGCTGAGTGTTTAAGAAAATAAGGTCCATATCATAAACTTTTGTTCCTTTCATTTACATTTTGATGAATCTTCTCTATAAAACATTGTTAAGTTTCTACTTTTACTGATGATCTCTAAAAACATGTTCGAAGTTAACAGACATAACGACTTTGAATGTTGAATTTCCATAAGAAATATGTCAAGATCTTTTTTTTTTTTTTAATTTTTATTAGTGAAACACCCTGAGGTACGGCTGCAGACTTACAAATTTTTGTGCTTGGGTTTTATTTATACAATGATTGAGTACCCATCCCTCCACCAGTGCCCATTCTCCACCACCACTAATCCCAGTATCCCTCCTACCCCTGTCCCCCCATCCCACCCTGCCTCTGTGGCAGGGCACTCCCTTTTGTTCTCTCTCTCCTTTTGGGTGCTGTGGTTTGCAAAAGAAAATTGGGTGGCAATGATGTTCGGTCTACAGTCTACTTTCAGCATGCATCTCCCATCCTGGGCGGATCTTCCCAACACCCTTTATTTGGTGCTCCCTTCTCTATCTGAGCTGCCTTTACCACTAGAGTGTGCGGCTGGCCTCCAAGCCATGGAGTAACCCTCCTGGTGTTTATCTCAGTTATTCTTGGGTGTTAATCTCCTATTTTGTTACTTTATGTTCCCCAGATGAATGCAACCTTTCTATGTCTGTCCCTCTCTTTCTGATGTGTCAAGATCTTGAGGGTTCACAGGAATAGTTAAATTTTGCTTTCTGGGCAGTCACCAACTTTCAGAACCCAATGAGAAGTGCAGGTGTGCTGGCTCAGTTGCAGCAAACTCTAGGCCTCAAGGGTTAGGGGATGAGCTGGTCTTTTTCATGTCCTTGTCCCTATGGGACCTTGGACGTCATGCCCACAAACTGCTTCCGGCTGCTGTTTAAGCTCTTTAACAGCCATGATTAGAGACACACGAATCTCAGAACCAAGCAGTTCACTGCAGAGATTTCTCCAGACTATAATTATCTAAAATTTTAGAGTTCCAAGAGCACGTGGCCTTGAGAGTGATTGCACGACATCTTATGCTATTCATAACAAGCAATACAAAAGACAATCTGGGAGATATTGTCTGCCATAGAGGCAAGGGGAGGGGTGGGATGGGGGGATATTGGGAACATTGATGGTAGAAGATATGCACTGGTGGAGGGACAAGTGTTGGATCATTGTATAACTGAAACTCAAACATGAAAACTGTATCTTATGGCGATTCAATAGAAAAATAATTTGCTTTCTGTCAGAATCTTATGGCTGGATGATGTAGGCATGATTATATTCTGGAGAAAAGAACCAAACCTAGAAATGCCATGTAGTTTCACAGCAGTGGGAGTGCTTAGCATAACTTCATAAAATCCCTTCCATTTAGTTAATAGTTAACTGTAAGAGGATCCAGTTTTCCAGGTTTTTAGTAAGACCCACCTACCAGACTAAATATTGGTTGGGGTTTATTCTTTACTTGGTTGAGGTAAAACAACTCTCTCATATTTTTGAATTGCCTGTTGTACCTGTCCTAAATTAATAACATATTTTTAATCTTATCCTTCACATATCTGTGATTCAATAAAGTATAGAGAACATGTATATTCATTCTTCTCTTCAGTAGCAATGACAAAAAATATTCTGTGATATATTTTCCTTCTATACTATTCTAATAGTTAACCTTGGTGGAAATATTTGAACCTTGTCAGAAACTATGATTTGCATTAATGTTGCTCTTTCACATATCAGACTGAACAAGTTGTTAATAATTCTTTATTTCCTCTTTGAAGCAGTAGGGTGTTCGCCTTACGAGTGGCCAACATGGCCGACCCGAGTTCGATTCCTCTGCCCCTCTCGGAGAGCCCGGCAAGCTACCAAGAGTATTCGATATGCCAAACACAGTAACAACAAAGTCTCCAACGGAGACGTTACTGGGCCCGCTCGAGCAAATCGACGATCAACGGGAGGGCCTTTACCTTCCTCTTTGAAAATGTATTTCTCATCCTTCATATCCTACCAAAGCCATGAGTTGCCCTCCACGAGTGGCTCTCTGGCACGGCCCTGGCTCCAGAGGCACAAGGACTTAATCCAGAGCCCGGCAGCTTGCGGCTGAAAAGTGAATGGACTATGCATTAAACTACGGTGGCATGCCTCCCCGGGAGGGAAAGGGTGTCTGTCCCTTCCGCCTCCGCATCCATGCCCCCAGCAGCAAGGTGGCCACCACCTCAGAGCTTATTGGAAAGCCAGGTATGAGCCGGTGGTGACGGGGCAACTGCAGACTCATGGGATGGGGGACAGTACTGGCTCATCCTTCACGCCCTACTGAGGTCACAAGTTGCCTCCCCACGAGTGGCTCTCTGGCACGGCCATAGCACCAGACACACAGAAACCAATCTTGTAATTATCTGGCTCTTGGCAGAAATCCCTCCAGACTTAGTCAAATATCAGAAATCCAAAATCGCGTGGCCGCAACATCATATGGTCCCCATAACCAGCTATAGAAAACAAATTATTTCACAATGCCATTTCAGCAGTTCTGATTGTTGGGGGGAAATTCTCAACAATAATGGTGCATCTTTTGTCGAAATAATGAACATAATCAAAGTAGAGAGAGAGTTAAGTAGAAATCATCTGCCTCACAGGCATCAGGAGGAGTGGGAGGGGGGTATATTGGGGTTCTTGGTGGTGAAAAATAAGTACTGTGAAGGAAAGGGTGTTTGATCATTGTATGACCGAGACTTAAACCTGAAAGCTTTGTAACCTTTCCCACAGTGATTCATTAAAAAAAACAAAATGTATTTAATTGGGTTTACCTTAAGGGGGTTTTGAGAAATTCTAGTGAGTAAAGCACAATAAGTGCTTAACAAAGTAAAAGTTCTGTCCCAGAAGACAGTCATTTTAAAGCTTTCTTCCTGGGGTATGGTGTTGCCAGCAGGTTAGGCTGTACCTGTGGAGGCGAGTGCATCAGCAGCCTGATGGCACCGTCAGACTTTCAGATACCCCTAAATTACGGCTGTGCCTTTGCCCAGACCCCAAAAACTCGGGGCAAAGTTTACCTAGAAAGTAAATAGTCAAAATTTAGGTATGTGGGAGACACACCCACAAACCAACTCTGGCTCAGCTATATAATTGGAAGCAAGGCCTCTCTGGTTCCTGATAGAACTTCTTAATGGCCAGGATCCCAGAGACTCAGAAACGAATCTCAGAACCCAAAGGCTTTTGACAGAAATGCGTCCTGTTCTGCAGTAGGTTACTGGCACTGAGCCACTCCAGTTTGGAATAGGTTTCGTGCCTTGGCCTGTTCCCCCTGGCGAACCGGTGACCGCCATCCTCCAGAGGCCACTGGACAGTCAGGTTTGGGTGCACTGATGAGACACGCGGGGCCTCACCAAATGGGGGTGGAACCGGCTCTTTCCTCCCCATCCCAAGACTCCGAGTTGCTGCCTACAAACGGCCTCTCTGGCTCCTGATCAAGCCGATTAATGTCCACGATCCCAGAGACTCAGAAACAAATCTTGAAACCCAGCGCCTTTTGGCAGAAATGCATCTGGACCACATACAAGGTGGCCGCTGCCTCAGAGCTTATAGGAAAGCCAGGTATAAGCCAGCGGTGATGGGGCAACTGTAGTCTCATGGGAAGGGGGGCAGTGCCAGCTTGTCCTTCACGCCCTACTGAGGTCACGAGTTGCCCCCCCCCCCCCCCCCCCCATAGGCAGCTCTCTGGCACGGCCATGGCTCCAGAGGCAAAAGGACTTAATCCAGAGCCCGGAAGCTTGCAGCAGAAAAGTGAATGGGCCATGCGTTAAACTACAGCGCCATGCCTCCCTGGGAAGGAAAGGGTGTTGCTCCCTTCCACCTCCCCCCACCCCCCTATCCCAGCAGCAAGGTCGCCGCTGCCTCAGAGCTTTTTAGAAAGCCAGGTATGAGACGGTGGTGAAGGGGTAACTGCAGTCTCATGGGAAGGGGGGTGGTACCAGCTCATCCTTCACGCCCTACCAAGGTCACGAGTTGTCCCCCATGTGCAGCTCTCTGAAACAAACATTCCAAGAATGAGTTCTTCAACCGCTAAGTGAACTATTTATAAAGTTTACTTGTAATGTACAAGATTTTACGGTGTTACTGCCTTGTTATAATGGTCATGTAGAATTAAATTGCAGTATGTATTATAATAAACACAGTTTCAGAAAGAATCATGCGAAGATAACATTTTAATGATTATAAGCTGTTTTATCATAATGGCACTTGCATTAGTTATTACTGTAGCACTTCTCTAAGTTCAGATTATATACAAAAGACCCACAGAATTTATACTTGTGTATATTTCACAAAAGGTGGTAGCAATTTTAATAGCAGTCAAAGTAAAATATTCCTTAAGTATAATTTTTTCTGAAAACAATGTTAGTAGCTGAAGATCATTAGCAGATGTAATACCTTTCTTGAATACAATTGCTAACAAGACCCTTCACATATATACCAATACTAAAGGCTAATTCCATTTAAAATTCTTATCATGGAGCCCAAACAAAAAAAGGTTCGATAACTAAGAAATCAGTTCTGACAGGCCAGCAAAAATAAACGACTGAACATCTCAAAGAGAAATAAAGACATGTATCTGTGGGAATATACTATAATATCACTTCTAATGGTTCTTCTAGGAAACTCTGCTTCAAGAGACTACCTGATTCCAGATAAGGCCCCCAATTTTTTTTCTAATTTCAAAATACCTGTAAGTTTTTATACTTTCTGAAGTTTTTTCTCTGGGTTTTCTAGACTTTGGCCTCCCCCAAATGACTCTAAATTGGAAGCCAAATTAGAACCAATAGCTGTTCTAATTAGAACCAATAGCAGTTCTAATTTGATTCCAGAAGTCTGTGGTTACTTTCCATCAAAAAATAATGTCTTCTGGATTTGGAGGTGGAGGGCAAAATTCTTCACCTGGGAAGATCTCCTGAAAAAGTGTTTCAGCTTGCTTGACTGCATGTTCACTTCCCAGCCCACAGTCAGGTCCAGAGCAAACATAAACATTGGAAGGTAAGCCATTATATAAGCTTCTGATTATTCCAGTAGAATCTCGCATATTAAAATAAAGTGCCCAGAAGACTCTAGGCTTTGTAAATTCTTCCTGATCTATCTCTGTTTCCGAATATGGGGTAAATAATTTTTTTACCACTGATTCTAAGTCTTCTTTAGCTGTTTTAGAAGATGAGCAAGTCAAATGTACCAAATAGGTACCTTTCATGCAGGTCATGGTTGAAGAACATAATTCAGTGACCCGAACAGCACAAGATGTTTGTTCCACTGGTGGTACTACCAAAATGGAAATCTGCTGATCTGAATCGGTCTTTAGAATAGACTCATCTGTAATGAGCACAGCTCTGGAAATCTGTTTATACTGTATATTTGAGCATGTTTCCTCAGAAAAATAACTATCCTCCACAATAAAATATTTTGCACTTATTCTTTGACCAAACTGATCTATAATTGCTTTACATCTTCCAGATTCTTTGTCAACCACAAGGCATTGTGCTTTATGGCGAAGACAATAGATTCCACCAAAAACTGCACTCATCCTGCAGAAACACTGGGAAATTTCTCCTTGGCCGTACACGGGAAACAAAAAGGGAGTGTTGCCAAATCGTCCAAGACACTGAAGGAACATTTTTGTTGCTTTGAGACCATCTACTGTAGAGCAAGATGCCTCTGGTGTCATAGCAATTGAGTGTAGTATAAAATGTTGGAGATTAGGGGTTAATTTCTTAGTTTTTAAGTAGTCTGAAAATGAACATTGAATGAAAGCTTGATATTCATCAGGATGCTGTTCATAGTCTAAACAAAATGTGAGAAATTTCATTAGCATTCTCTTTTCAATCATAGTGAGTTTTTTGTTATTAAAAACATCTGCTCTGGAACAAGGCACCTGCTCAACTTTTCCTTCATGATATGAAAGAATTCTAGTTACATTTTTAAATTCTGCATACTGGCAAACATTTGATCTTATTAAAAGATCAATTAGCAATCCTTGAGAATACAGCAGCTTTGATACCAAATCAATATTAAACCTCCTACCTTCCTTAATTATATCAGAGTATTTAATTAGATTCCTCTTTGGTTTGTCAGTAGGTTCGTTTACATCTTTAGCTTCATCTGAAAATGTATGTTTACAAGTGTTATCTCCACAATACATTTCTTTTGCCAGGGTTTCCTCAACATGAGTTACTTCTGGGCAAGTTTCTCCATTGTTTTCCATATCCTCTCCTGTATGTATCTTGTAGCTCATGATGTTTTCTGACTGTGTTTCTTCAGATAAGGATGCAGAACCCAAAGGTTTAGTAATGATGCTAGATGCCTCAGGAGAAGCATTTCTTTGTAAAGCAAGAATCTCTTCAACATTGTCATCTGTATTCTGACTGGCATAACAAAAAACTTCTGTGTGTAGAATTGTTTTGTCCTTCTTGCAAAGAGCTATGGCGTCTTCTGTTTCATGGATCAGGTCCTGCCACACGGTATTTTCTTCTTCATTGTCCCTGTTTTGCTGATACTCCCTCAACCAGGATAGCAATTCTGGAAAGTTGAAACTAGCCCAGTTTCCTCCATAATAACCTTTTGAATCAATATGCAAAACCCTCTGACCATTTCTTGAACATGCTGCTGCAAGGATGGATTCAGGCAAACCTGTTCCTATTATAACCACATCAAACTCTGTGGGTAGATTATTTGCCATTTTGGGAGAATTGGTGTCTGATGACAAAGCTTTTGAAGGGAGAAACGTGTATGACTATAGGAAGAATGAGGTGTGAATATGCCATTAAAAAAAAATCTTCTTATAGTTTTTCAGTTAATCCATGAAATGTCAAGGTTGCCAATACTAGCTGTTTAACTATTATCTTCTTAATTTCTTATAGGTCAGTTGCATAAAGACAAAGCACAGTACATGTAATCAAATTTGAGTCTAAAAAAATGGATGTGTAGTTTTCATTTCTGCATTTCATCTTAACAGTATATGTCAATTGCATGGCAAGCCTGTGTAACTGGAACTCTTCTCTGAAAGAAGAAAATTCAAGAAAGAATACAATTGTAAACAATACATGAGAAAATTCCATGCAACAATTACAACCCATTGGGGCCTGAATTTTCTTGTTAGATATAAACCTCCACCAAACCTAGTAACTAAATGCTTTCTTGTATATTTTAAAATTTCTTAAAAATAAACAATAGAGACATATATCCCTCCCCTCAAAACAGGCAATTCAGTAAGAATGGTTTAAGTAAGTCGCACACCACCAGAACATAATTCTGTAACATCTACCTTTAAGAAAACTAAAATTTGATACATAACTTTAAGCTTAGACTATAGAAATTCATGGCTCAATGGTGTTTATGGAAACAGACCATAATCTATGAGCACACTGTCATGATTAGAAATATTTCTGAGGTAACTATAGTCCAGATAAGCTAGCAGAATAGTTTTCTATCTTTAGAAATATGCATTAGCAATATAAGATTATTTTTACTGAATTAACCAGATTAATATAGAAGGGAGCAACTCACATTTAAAAATACTTAGGTGCACAAAAAAAGGGAAAATATTTATAAACAAATATTTATGTGCACATTAGTGTTTTCTATGGTAAGTTAAAAAGGAAACCTATGGGTTTATTTGTTAAAATATCTTCACATCTGTATGTGCCACCCTAAAATTCTGTATTCCAAAATAAAAGTCTATGCAACATTCATCCTAGGTCACAATGAACACGTTGCTATTCTTGTCTTGAAGGAATAGGAAGCGACAGTGAATAAGGTCACTATTAATTTCAGATTTAAAACTGGCTGTGTTCTATATGTAGAATATCTGTGTGGCACTAGGTGTGGCCAGAGTAGAACAGTTAATAGAGCTGAAAGGAGACTGGAGGTTTGATTCTTGGCACTGCATGGTCATCACCCTATGATTTATGATTAAGGGAAAGCAATGAGATGAGATGGTAAAAGCCCCAAGCACCACAGAGCATGGCAAATGAAGAGGAAGGGAAGGGGAAAATATTTTGTTGCTGAAAATTTGCTTAGATAAAATTGGACACTGCTAATGAATTATCAATGGATTGCTTTACTTGAAGAGCTCCTTAAGAAATGAGATGCAGATAGAGCTCATATAGCAGAACATATAACTAGCAATTTTGAAGCCCTGAGTTCAAACTCTTACTTTTACCCCCATTGTGAGCATAGCTTGAGAGTGTCCCTGGGCCCCCAGTATGGCTAAGTGGCACTCTATAAAAAATAAGATCAAAGTGTTATTTCAATGCAAAAGGCAAAAATGAAACTTTAAATAATTTAAAATTTTAAAATGGTAAAACAAAATTAGTTTTATTTTCCCCCATAAAAAATTCCAAGCATATCCAAAATCTAAATAAATTAGTTTTATTTCCCCCCATAAAAATTTATTTTTATTTTTTATATTTATATATTTTTATATTTTATATTATATTTTATATTTTTATTTATATTTTATATTATTATTTTTATAAAAATATATTTTTATATTATTTTTATTTTATATTATTATATTTATATTATTATTATATTATATTATTATTATTTATTATTATTTTTTTATTATATTTTATATTATTTATATTTTATATTTTTATATTTATTTTATTTTTATTTAATTTATTTTTATATTTATTTCCCCCAAAATTAGTTTTATTTCCCCCCATAAAAAATTCCAAGCATATCCAAAATCTAAATAAACACTTCCAAGAAATGAAAAAATTACATTTCTAATTTATGTTCAAAGACTATTCCCTGGAGCACACATTTAAAAAAAAATCATTCCTTTTCCAATCTTAGAAAAAAAATTAAGTATTCAATACTATTTGGGGTGGATCCTCTTTCAAAAGGTCAAGTATGTGAGACCTAAAATCTTCTACAAGGATTACTAGTTCTGCTGAAGTGAACCATCGAAAGTATTGACTGCATAACAAAGTATGTGTTCAGCAGAGTGGGGATTCTCTGAGCCATGTGTAATATCACCTTAAATTTTGGTATGTTGGAGTCTATAATAAAGAAATACAATAAAAATTTTATAGGGTATACCAATGTGCTGGAGAGATAGCACAGCAAGTAGGGCGTTTGCCTTGGCAGACCCATGTTTGATTCCTCAGTGGGAGAGCCCAGCAAGCTACTGAAAGTATCCCACCGCATGGCAGAGCCTGGCAAGCACCCTGTGGCGATAGTTTGCTCAAGCAAAGTGATTAACAAAGGGAGGACACTGCTACAGTGCAGTGCTACCAATGTGCAGTCTTAAGACCTAAAAGAAACGCTAATTTCCAGGGAAGCACTCAAATCTGTTATTGAGCCATATAATTTTTTTTAATTTCGCAAAGCTCTCTGTTAGCCTTATGTTTGGAGTTTATGAATTGAAGTTCCTCATCACCCTCACCAACTTGCACAAGTGAGTCCCTTTTCCCCTTCAATCTCTCGGTTCTAAAGCTTCTGCTTTCTCTCCTCTCTGTAAAAACTCAGCTGAATCAAATTAGGGGATGAAAACAGAAATCTGGAATACGGGGAGCTGAAATTAAGAGGTGCAGGGGCTTTAGAGAGGATGTGATTTAGGGCAGGCCTGGGTGAGAGAAGAGTAAGCTGAGGGGGAAAGTTCAGTCAGCGAGAGGAGGTTAAGTAGTAAAGCTGACGGGAAGGGAAACACCTGAGTTTCGAGGAGAAGAGTTTGGAGGGGCGTCAAAGCTGGTGCTGAGTCAGGTCAAAGACGAGGCCAACCCGAGATAAAACGAGGGCGGGTAAGCGGCAAGCCTGCTGACAGAGCTGGCCAGGCAGGAAGAGTGCTTTCTCTTCTGGGCCCAACTCACCCAAAAGACTGCAGCTAAATGCGTCCCGGCCCTCTGTCTCCCAGACCAGGCAGTTCCTCAGGAAGAACACGAAGGTAAAAGGTGATCCCGAAAAGCGACATCAGCAGGTCTCCGCGCCTGACGCTGACCAGGCCGAGATGGACAGGAATGAGGGGACGCTAATTTCTGGTGGAGAAATGAGCACCAACAAAGTGCCGGGGCGGGTGCTGTGCAGCAGGGCGGCAGACAGACGCTGGCCGGGCCGCCAACCCGCTCGGGCTCCGCTGCGGTTTCCTGTGTCCAGGCCCCGCGCCCACACGCTTCGTGAGCTGAGGTGCTAGGACTTTCTCCGCGCCGCCCGGGGAGTGACCCGCATTTTAGTTCACACTCAGCCACAGCCACCACCTCACTCTCTGAGCGCCAGATCGCAGCACCTAGGGTCCCGGGCCGGCGCCCCGCCCCTTCCGCCGGGCGCGCACTCGCGGCCCCGCCTGATCCTCACGAGCGCGTTCCCGCGGCTCTTCCTCGTCCCATCCCTTACCCTGCTCTAGCGGCTTCCTCGTAGTCCCGCCTCCTCCTTCCGAGCGCGTTCCCGCGGCTCTGCTTCCTCCCATCCCCTATCCCGCTCTCTATGCTCCCTCTTAGTCCCGCCCCTTCCCTGTGGGTGCGTTCCCGCGTTTCCTTTTTGCAGAAGCTTCCTCTATGCACTGCCCCCTGCTGGCGCGCCGTCATGCTTAGACGCAACTTTCACTCTGGAAGCTGGAATCTGTTCTGGTAAGACACTAGGTAAGAAGAAGGAAAGGGCAGCTTCTTGTCAAATTAACAGACATAGCTTCCTCATTCTTCCAGCTTGAAAACATCGCGTCTATTCTCGCCTTTATTTTCTCTCAAGGATTCACTTAAAACTTTAATGACTTGGAAGAGAGACTCTCACTCTAGCCCTTTTTTCTCCCCTGGAAAGCTGTAATATTTCGCGAGTAGCATGCAGTGCTACACTAGTCTCACAAATAGAAGCACCAGGTGGACCCCAGTATCCATTGATATTTTCCTTCCTGTTCTGCTCTAATGAGATTTGTATATCTCTACTGAAACCTAAATCTAACATGTATAGGTGGCACTGTAGTTATAAGAGCATACATTTTCCAGAAATTTTTACTGTCCCAAATTTTAAGGTCCAAAACAGGTAAGTGGGGTGACGTTGGAAATCTCCAGGGGACAATGGTCATGGTCCACAGTGGACGAGTCATCATATGCCTATCCTCACCAAATACAGAACAAGGATCCTATGACTAAAAACATTTTAAATTGAATCATCATAACAGCTGCAAAGTTATTAATGATTGGCTAACAATGTTCCAACACCTGTCCCTTCACCAGTATACATTTCCCACCACCAATGCCCCCATTTTCTCTCCCCCACCACCTCTATGGCAAGCACTTCTCTCTCTCTTTCTCTCTCTCATTTATATAGGAAAGTTCTCAACTTTGTAATCTAAAGTATATTGCATTAAATTAAATTTTATACTTGTATCTCATTATGATAATAATCATGTCTTACCTGTCATTAATCAACTTTTAAAATACTATATGCTTGGGGCTGGAAAGATAGTACAGCGGGTAGGGTGTTTGCCTTGCACGTGGCCAACCCAGGTTCGATTCCCAGCATCCCATATGGTCCCTTGAGCACCACCAGGAGTAATTCCTGAATGCAGAGCCAGGAGTAACCCTTGTGCATTGCCAGGTGTGACCCAAAAAGCAAAAAGAAAAAAAAATATATGCTTATATGTTTTGGGGCTTACATCAAGTAGGTAAAGCCTACATACAAAAAATTTTGTCCCTACACTTCATTTAAATACTGTGGTTTACAAAGTTGTTCATGATGATTTCTTACAGACATTCAACATTTCAGCACCAATCCCACCATCACTATCACCTTACCTTCACCATTGTTTTTAATTTTCTCAATAACCCTTCAAGCCCACTGCACAGACCAACAATAATTTATTCTATATTGCTTGTTACCAATAAATTGCTCACAAAATTATCAAAAATTAGGCTGGAGTGATAGCACAGCGGTTAGGGAGTTTGCCTTGCGCATGGCTGACCCTCTGTTCCTCACAGACAGTTTGGCAGGTATCTGAGAGTATCCTGTCCACATGGCAGAGCCTGGAAAGCTCCCCATGGGGTATTCGATATGCCAAAAACAGTAACAACAAGTCTCACAATGGAGACGTTACTAGTGCCCATTGCCCATTCCAGTACATCGACAAACAATGGGAGGACAGTGCTACAGTGCAGGACAGTGCTACAGTGCAGAAGAAAATTAGTGTAAATTGTTATATCTGACTGTGGAGACATTAAATCTTTGTATGAGGGATTAGCAAGATGTTGTTATACATTAGGCCTTTTGTGTTAATGTTTTTGTTACTTTAGATTGTTGGATTCAATGTTACATTCCATCCAGTCTGGTATTCTACTGCTGGATTATCAGTGTTGTAGAGTTTGGAGATGTTGCTCCAGGAAATTGAGAATTTTTATCTGGATGGTCCAGCTGAAGTTAAATTTTTAACTGGCGGCAGCTTTAGGGTGTGGAAGTGACTACCAGGGCTTTCAAAAGCACAGGGAAGTGGGAGAAAATAGCCCATCCCAACTCTGAGAAAGACTGGAGATTTCAGTCACAGGGACCAGACACATACCTGCCTTCTCACCAGATTAATTTCTCTGTGAGGATCCACCAAAGATAATGGGGTCCAGTCATGCAGCTGCGACTTTGGAGTGTGGGAGCGAGCAGCAGCCGGGGTTCTGTGTGGGAGAATGCTGACTCCCCCCTCTCTGGAGTGCTCCAGATGTCTCAGCCAGGAACAGGTGTCCAAGAGATTTTTGTGGCTATTTGATCTCTTTGGAGATTTATTTATGAGTTTCTGTAGTAAGGCCAGTAGGTGAGCTTACAGATGGTGGAGGGAGTTTGTGGGCGTGAATCTCTACTAACCATTTTTAAAGACCTACCCCTTAACCATCCCTGACTCAATTTATTATTTAAATTAAAGAGAAATAAAGGAAAAGTTTTCTTTTATGATCTCTTAAAATATCTTTATTTATACAAAAATATTAATGTTGAAATACTTTTTCATCTTAAGAAGCTCATGTTTAGTGATGGTCTCTCAGTATCTGTATTATAAACCATAATGCCCCAAAGTAGAGAGTCTTAAGAAAACTGCTTGCCATAGAGACAGGGGCTGGAGTGGAGTGGGGGTAGCAGGAGGGATACCGGGGACATTGGTGGTAGGAAAGCTACACTGGTGAAGGGGTGGCTGTTCATTGTACAACTGAAACTTAGTCATAAGAGCTTTGTAACTGTATCTCATGGCAATTCAATAATTTTTTTAATTAAAAAGCAGAAGCTCATGTTTGGGGCCAGAGAGATAATACGGAGGCAAGTGGCTGACCCCAGTTTGAAACCTGGCACCACATATTGTCTGTCAAGCACTACCAGGAATGATCACTGAGTAGTCAGGAGTAAACCCTGAGAATTGCACTTCAGATATGCCACCAAAAAAAAGTCTGTGTTTTTATGTTCTTTATAGTCACAAGAATGAATGTGAGCTTTTCAGCATTCTGAGGAAGGGAGCAGTCTGGATGAAAAGATATATAAAATAAAGGAAATAGTCCTCAAATTACATGGTCTTTATCCTTCATTCTTACCGTTCAGGCAATGTACACACAGGCACAAGCAAGACATACACAGACACATAAACACAGTATTTATAGGAAATAAATCTCAATTTCTTTATGAAGGATGCAGAATGTTGCAGAGATATTATGATGCAATACAGAACCACATTAACATTGTGAAGTCAGGATTTTTGCTGAAATGTTTGTATGAAAGTGTTCCTCTGTATTAGTCACAACACTTATTCCTAACTAGAATATGGGGTTTTTATATTAAAGGAATAAGATCTAGGGCAAACATTGGGACAGTAATACAGCATGTAACAATTGGAAGAATATACAAATTAGCAATTTTGCGATACTATTTTCTTTTTGAAATAAAAGATTTTCTCTATCCCTATAGAAGTGATGGATGACAAAAACACCAATGATGAACTTCAGTTTAACAATTTCAGGACTGCCTTAAAGGGTTTTGAAAAATTGATTGAACGTACAGCGGCATTGAAAAGAGATGAAAGAGCAGGCTTGATTATCCCAAAAGAAGGTAAGATCAGCAATGTGAGTACAATCGAACTGAGTCTGTTGATTAGTATTAAACTATCAGAGAGAAGCAATATAGCAAAGACATTGAAAGGGGGTAAGAGTGAATGATTCCCTATTCACTGAGGAATAGTGATTATTCTGAGGAATAATTCCTCATTCTGATTCTGTTCCTGAAAAGCCAAGTGGTCTTAGGGAAACATTACACTTACAAGAACATCATTTGTCTCCAGTAACTTCAAAATCTGTTTCTATTCTTTGTTTTCTCAAACTAGAAATCAAAACAAACTTGAATTATCTCAAATGTAAAATTAGAGGGATGGATTAAATGATGTCTGAAGGTTCTCAAGAAGAATCTACCATGGGATAATTTATTGATTAACCGGGGAGGCTCAGTAGGGTACAGTGACCATTATCAAACCACGCAAGAAGTCATTGCCATCATTTTTACTTAATACTATCATGAAAAAAAATGTCATAGGAGTGATTATGATATTTACCAGAAATTTCCTACTTCACCATAATTATTGTGTTCAGAAGATACTCCTTAAATGTCTGTTAAATAAAAAAGTTAACTCTGTACTATGTAGCTGTTAGAAAAGATGAAGTCATGAAATTTACATACAAGTGGTACAACATGGAAAGTATCATGCTAAGCGAAATGAGTCAGAAAGAGAGGGATAGACATAGAAAGATTGCATTCATTTGGGGGATATAAAGTAACAAAGTATGAGATTAATACCCAAGAATAGCTGAGATCAGCACCAGGAGGATTACTCCATAGCTTAGAGGCCAGCCAGGCATTCTAGGGGAAAGGGCAGCTCAGATAGAGAAGGGAGCACCAAATAAAGGGTGTTTGGAGGATCCTCCCAGGAGGGGAGATGCATGTCGAAAGTAGACTATGGACTGAACATGTTTGCCACTCAATACCTCTTTTGCAGACCACAACACCCAAAAGAAGAGAGAGAACACAAGGGATTGCCCTGCCACAGAGACAGGGTGGGATGGGGGGGATGGGGGTGGGGGGGATATTATCCATGGTGGTGGAAAATGGGCATTGGTGGAGGGATGGGTATTTGA